CATAAGAAAAGACTTCTTATTATTTTTTCTTACAAGAATGAACACTCCTTTATATAGGAGTAATGAGTCGGTCGACACATTTCTTCATAAGAAAGAAAGTAATATAAAATAAAGCAAATGGATAACCATTATCCATTTTATAACATATCTATATATACGAGACATATGTTATACACATACGTATATCTCACTTCTTTATAGCTAAAGTTTATAACAATAAGAATTTTTTTTGTTCAAATATTATTTGATGTTTTCTATATTTGATGTAAATTTTTAGTTTATTTAGCAAAGTAATCCTCTTTTGGTCAAAAAAAAAGGTTAATAAAACTAAAATATGATAAAGAGCTATATTCTATATTTTGTATGTTTTCTTTAATCTCTGATCATGTAGCACAATCTTATTATATAAAGGAGAATATGCACGATGAGAACGAGACACGTAAACAAAATTCTTATTCACGAGATCATGACATGTGTAATTGTTACATGTGTCAATATTAACAAAAAACAAATTAAAAAAATAAGGAATCTATTATAAATAAGGAGAATATACTAATTAAAAAAAAGGAAAAAAACTGTTCTACTGAAATATGTAACTGTTTAACTAAAATATGTAATATTTCCAATATTAACAAACAAATTTAAAAAGAAAATAAGAAAATATAGTCTAAACAAAGATTATAGACTAATTTAAAAAAAAAAAAGTTTAACCTTTCTAAATTTTTTATATTACAAATTTAAAATAACGTGTATGAGATAAAGTATAAGATAAATATAATAAATTGACTATTTAATAAAATATAATACTAAAATCAATATTAAATATTTGTGTGAGACGTAATTTAGAATCTAATTATATTTGTCAAATTATAGGCGTTATAAATTTTAAATCAAAATTATTTACCGCAATGCGTTTTTATATCAGCATGACACGTAAACAAAATCATAACTCACGAGATCGCGACATGTATCTAATATTGATCAAATAAAGAATGTGTTAAAACT